AGATCGCTATAGGTGCGCCCTTCGCCGCTAAACGCTCCATGTCTCGTCAGCTTAAATACCTAAGTTCTCATTTTAATCAGCTTATCTAGCCTTTTTGGGCATCCAAATAATCGTATCCACTGCCTTTAAGCTACACATTAGGATACTTTCAGTCCAATAACAGCATTCCTTCACAGCCAGGGCCTAATTCATAGGAAGGAGTAACTTTATTCTGTATTCTACCTATAGCGGGTGTAAAGCACTCCTTCCTCGAGTGCGCCAAGTATGCGGCGAGTCACGCACATCGGTCGTAACTTCAAAAGAGAAAGGCCATGGTGTGTATTAATTGCGCCGGTAGCGCACTGCCTCCTGAGGAAGAAACACTCCTTGCCCTCTCATCGGAATCCTGACCACCACCCAGCAGCTGCTTGTTTCACTACTTCAAAAGTGCACTCACTAATACTCAACGAAAAAAACGAAGGTTTACCATGACTGCTGACGGGAGCCCGCTAAGCCATGGTCGCCTGCCTTATTTTGCTTAAGCATTTTTGTTCCGGTCTTAAAGGCAGAGGTTTACGATGAAAGGTTCGCTCATTGGAAATAAGAGTAAGGTGGTCAGTGGAGCAGGGATGAAGAAAAAACCGTTTGAAACGGCTCCGAAACCCCAGAAATGGGACCCGTTCCTTGTCCGTTGATTTGCGCATTGATTGCGCCCATCTCATCGCTGGTGCCCATCTTTCACACTAGCTCTTGCTATATTAGTCACTCCCACGTAATAGACTGCGGAAGTGAGTAATGTCGGTGGCGCGTTTCGCCCACTTGCGCCAAAAGCGAAGGACGCTTGGGCATGTACCCTCGCCTTCAACCAGAAATTGTGCAATTGCAGAAATTGACGTGGCATTAACGTGGCATCGATTCAAGAACATCTTTGAGCACACGTGATGTCACCTTTTCATCGAGAATTTAGCCACGTGTGCCAATGCCACGTCAATTTCTGCAATTGCACAATTTCTGGTCATTTGAAGGCGAGGGTACTTCGCTTCAATGGTTCAGGCCATCTCAGAGGTCCGCCTGCCATCCAACCAATCTGCATTTTCCTTTCAATGACCGTCGTTCGTTGTCGTTTGAGTTCTCCTTGAAGTAAATGCGTCCAATCTCTCAACAGAGAAAAAGTGGACGGATAGATTTGGGTGGTTAAGTTACGTCAAAATTATTCGAGATGGAAATGCGCAAACGAGAACTGTCGCCGGTCGGATGTCCCTCTGGCTGTCTGAACATCGAGTTAAGCTTCATTTCTAGTACACTGTACCTGTGTTTATTCTGTTACATTATTCAGCCAATATCAAATCTAATCTTTTTTGATTAAATTAGCAACATTATTTGTCTATTTCGAAGTCATCGTTTTTATAAAGTGGTTGTTTATTTCTCGTTACTTCTACCGGTTGCACTAGGACAAAAAGCGACTTTTTCGCGTTTCGCAGCGCGAAACACTTTTCGCTGCAGGGGACCTCGGGTGCCACTCATGATCAGCGGTGGACCTGAGGTTCCCGCATGTGGAAAATGTTTCGCGCTGCGAAACCGAAAAAGTCGCTCTTGGCCAGCGAACCACACACGTGAACGGCTTGTAAATCGCCTAAGCACGACTTGGTTTGAGCATGCCCTCCACCAAATGTACAAATCACATCAACGATTAAGATGGTTTATTTTTGTAAAATTTTGTATCAAAAGAAACTTTTGGATGAGCTGCGCAAAAGTTTGTATAACGTTGCTCTTAAGGCAGCACGTTCATCGAAAAGCATTCGTAAACGGGCAGCATTCCTAACTACGAACACGCCACATGAAAAATTAACTACAACAATACGAGATTGGATCGATAATCGATTTCAAAAGATCATACATTTTAATTGCGGTAAATGGCAATGTGTACAAAAAGAGGGCACATAATGAGTAGACGACCTTACTAAGTACCGTCGCTAAACAGTAAACAGACGGGCAGAGGTGCTAGTGCAAAATATTGCGGAACCATTCGTGGTGGCATGAAATAAATTACACGAGGTCACATGATCAGGCTGTAAAACACATTTTTTGGCTTAATATGAGATGTACACATTCAGAAAAAAAAAATTAGATAAGCTTGTTAGACAAGTGAAGCCCTAAAAGACCAATGGCTTGGCCCTTAAAAAAACGGCCTCGTTCCAAATTCTTGGAATGGTATGGCAACCGGAGTGTGCGTGAAGGCGGCGCGCTTCGTTGGCCACACGACGCGAATGCCATAATGCATGGATTCGAGCAGTTTGATTTCGGATTTTTCGGAGCTCCTTAACCCATAAATCGGGGTTTCTGGACAAAGAAGCTATTATGGAGTGGGGAAAAAAAGAGGCAGAGCATGTACCCATTTGGTGCCACGACTTAACAAGGTCTAAAAGCTGACACGCTTAGGAGGGTAACAATAGCCCAGCCACACGATGACCCCGCCCACAAATCAATGATGCTTCGCTTGCCGCTACTAAGAAGGGGATCTTATTTGCGTCCTTGTCGATGGTTTCTTACCGTTTTTTTATTATCGGCGCTACGTATCACATTTCACTCACAAACGCAACAACACATTACTTGGATCCACGGTTTGCTCTAATGATATTAATTTCGGTACTATCAAATCCTTTTCGGTCAACCCAAGAGACGCAACGCACCGCGCACCGCACATCACCTGTACCAGCCCTTCGGCATTTGGGACGAGACCGTTCTAGTGGGATGTGAACGCACAAAAAGTAGCAAATAAGGGTTTACACCGGTGTAGTAGTACTCAACAGTTGTACAAGAACTGCATCTCAAAACGGGAAAACCCCTACTTATAAAAAAAACACTGATTTCGCTGATCTAGAGATCGCTGCAAATATATGAACTGTGAGCAAATCGCCAGCGATTCAGTTGCACATAAAAGTAGATATAAATGCTGTAATGTAAAGAACTAAGCTGAATAGAATATAGAGACTAATAACGAATGTATAGGATAAAACAACAGATACTTTTATAATGACGAGAAAATGTATACGACTAGCGTAGGCGGTGTCAGGTGCATACCTTCTTCAAAGAAAGCCTGAATGATGGCATTGTCTGCCTGTTGCCTGTCTAATCCATTTTTTCTAGAGAATCACATTCGTTGCACTAAGTAGAGAAAACTTCACAGATTAGCAATTACCACTTCTCAGTAGCTATGGCTCCTCTACGACGGCTGTTTAGTTCTTCTTGCCTGTAATTTACAAATTAACATATATCACTGGTAAAATTTTCCTAAAAAACTAATTCTCGTGAACTTTGCTTTCAGTCGTCTGAAAAAGGCTAAGAAACAGACTCCCCTCGTGAATTATTCAATGTTTCCTTGAACAATACCTTCACTTTCACTTCTTTTCATTGGCAGCAAAACTTCTTGATCAAAGATGCATCAACAAAGAAGAAAGCCCGCTGTATGTGTATTTGAGCATTTGGTTAATTCCTTTTTGAAACGCTGTCACGTGACTCCTTAATAAGATCATTGTGGGTAATGTTGATGTACATTGCCGGACTTGGTGATGAAGTTGCCAACGCAAAATCCAATAAAAAGGGTGGGTGCTAAGTGGGTTGGGGGGGGGGGCACGCAGCGGCGCGACGCTCTGTTTGTCTGCTCCTCTAAGGCTTAGTCCGAGGGGCAGTTACTATTTCGTCGCTACGTTGCAGTCGAATACGCGCCATTCAGCGGAACTTAGACTTGAAAGGGGCCAGACGAGCAGAGGCCCGCACCGCCGCGTGCGCCACTGGAATCCCATTGTGACCGAAGGTTGATCGTGACACGAAAAACCGAAAACGAAACGTGACGCGCGTGCGCGTCAGATCCGTCATTGGTCAGCGTAAGATCAAGTGGAAATCTAGAGATCGCGCATCCTGTAATGACAGACCAACGACCAGCGAACGACCACCAGCTCTGGGATTGTTGATTCAGTCAATCACTATCCTACTATATTATAAAGCGCTAACTTTGTGTGTCGGTTTGTGTATCTGTATGTGTGTGTGTGTGTGTGAGTGTGTGTGTGTGTGCGTGTGTATGTATGTATGTGTGTCCGTCCGCAAAATGAAGTGAGTGAGAAGGAAGCTCATGGGATAAACAAACCGCTAACAAATCGGGTAGCTTACAGGATTTGAGATATCAATGTTTTGTAGCAGGATAGTTGTGATAACACTCTTAGGGCTATATAAACACCTGCTTAGCACACTTCCGTTCATTCCACATGGTGCTGCAGTGGCAGCTGGAGGGCAGTGGAGAGAGGAAGGGAGGATGAGGAAGGGAAGCGAAAAATCTACCGTCATATCATGATTGTGTCCCTTCTACTGTTTGAAACACCATTGTGTTGCATACGCGTCACTTCCAGAGGTGTTGGTGTCACAGGAGGAAGGGACCATAGCGGAGGATAGAAAGCTTGCGCAGGAAAGGAAGGTCCCGGCGGTTGACGGGGGACTAATCTGGTAGTAATATAAAGCAAAATAGTTAGTTGTTGTGTCAACAAACGTTACAAGTTACAAATTTCTAAAAGCAATGAACGAAAAGTAAATGAAAGGGGCTTCATGTGGACTCAAATGCGTCACGTTGATCTGACAAAGCTTTCTACTGGAAACCGAAAAAAAAATTCTCCGGTCAATAGCGAAATAATGCGAAAATGGAGATCAAGCCACAAAACAAAATTCAGAAGGCAATCTTTCTTGGGTGGAGGTTTTGGCACGTATTGCGCTAACAAGCGAGCCGATTACAATGGCTAAACTTCTACCCAATCTTTGCTTCACCAACGTTTTTTCGGAAGTGACCACACGTTCAGCGACAAAGACAAGGATGCGACGGAAAGTCAGCTTGACGCCAAAGAAGTAACCGAGCGTGTTTTGTGCCTGTTTTTATAACGTGTTCATTAAAACAATGGCTGGAAAATAACAGGAGTTGAGAAGTTTTTTCGTGATTCAAGCTTTTTTTCTCAACCAAATATATAAACACAATCAACTCACTCCAATAAGTGCTTCGGTGTTGGCTGGAAGATTGAGTGCAGCATCTGGCAAAGTGTTTTTCGGAGAAGAGTTGGCAAAACGAGAGCGAAGGTCGTACGCGGTGGCTGGTGTCGGCGTAATTCCAGCACGAATTCCGTGTGATGGATGTTACGGCCGCTGTCGCACCCTGACAAGCCAGTTACATTGCTTTGGGAAATTCAAAGGGAATCTTTGCAAACGTGCAAATTGTTGCTCTTGAAAACAGTTCCCGTGTAAATTGGCGTTCCTTACCAAACTATTCTCTGGGCGCTAGTGCACGAACGAGACGGGATGAGGAGTTTAATCTTCAAAGGGAGACTGAAAAAATAATAATACTTAGATGTATGTACCGCGTAGTCTCGCCGCAGTGCTTGTGATGAACTTTTGTTCGACGATGGCAACTTTTTGGCAGCGCCTTTACCAGCGGCTACGATAACTCGGGATATCTGTAATACTGCAATTTACTAACAATATTGAAAATATAACAATATTATGGTTTGAAACAGCTGAATACGACTTTCTTGTTGTATTTACCAGGCAGTTGGATGCAATTACCGAAAAAAATGAGCAGCAACTGTTCAAGCATTTCAGATACCAGCTGGGTTACTGTAACGAAATCCCCAATGTAGATGAAAAATCAAACTGTGACCACCAGCTAAACATCAAGATTTACCAAAAAAAAAACAAAACATTTACAATTATCTGAGCGCGTAAGGGGCAACTTTGTGAGATTTCCTACGTGAAAACGACAGAAGCACTGAAATGAGGAGCGTTTCGTCAATCTGCCGGCGCAGATTAAGAATATAGAAGGCGGAATAACAATAAAAAAACAAAGTACAGGGCTTGAATCGCACAATGCCAATCGCATAGCACAGAATTACCTATGGTACAACTCATAGCACAAGCCCTTTGCTTCAAACAGAACTACTTTTACCTGACAATAGAATCGTAACGCACTTTTTCGACAAACTGAAAAATGACACAAAAACAATAGGATTTCTTAATGAATTGGCACTGTTGCATTACAGCTTTTAGGGTAGAAATATTACCAGCCAAGCCATCACAGTAATGTAAATGCGGCGCGCATTTTTCCACTACAAAATAAAAAAAGAATGAAGATTTTACACCTAAACAGGTTGCTGCTCTAAAACATGCTGGCACGTAAGAAAACAGCGATTATTACAGCATAAAGCATTCAAAACAAGAAAATACATAGAAATTGGAGTAAAATGTAGCAATTCGAACAAAATTTAACAAGGAATGTTGTTAACACCACATAAAAAACCTATGAAGCCAGCTCTCTCAGTACTAAGTTTAATCCATCACTAACTATTTCACACGCAAACGCACACTCTCCTTCTTAGTGCCATTTTTCGTCATATGCTATGGATCGCACATTTCCCAGGATCGACTAGCTTTCCAAAAGACAAGCCATTGTACACACTTGCACCTACGCATGCTACATTGCGTAGTGTGCATTGCTAAACCTGAGATGAAGTGGCGCACTGGCTGGCAAGCATCTGTTGGCAAAACAAACAAAACTACTGGAGGATTAGCCCTAGGGAGCCCTTGGGAGTGCAGGGTAAAATCAGAACACAACGGAAAATAATCAGCAGGCAAAAAAAGGTCCTTCACGATTGAAATCGACGGAACAACGATGAAAAAGTTGGCGTCGTGGCAGTATCAAACAGCTCCGTCAGTGTTCGAGTGCGGTAGCCGTTCAGAGGTAGTCGCTGAAATACACCAACACCAGATACTACACCAGAACACTGACAATCTATTTCTATACATAACGATACAAGCTTTCTTCTAAAATGACTAATGCGGTGCTTTATAGAAAAAAAACTAACAGACCGCTACAGAACCAGTCTGTCCAAAGGAGAGCTTATTTTCAACAGAGAACGATTTCTTTCAATGAATGATCTATAAGGAACTTTGCCACTAAAGCAGATCTTAAAGTCTGTCAAGATTCAACAATGAATAGGCAGCTTGGTATTCCGTAATTAAAGATGAATGGCAAACCTAAACCTGGGCACTAAATGAGTATTCCTGATCCTAGAAAAGAATCTTGCCGAAAAGGCACTACCACATGTTGCCTTCCAATTAGGTACTCGTTCTCTATGGAAAATATTCTCCGCTCTTAGACATAACTTCGCACCTCATGCGCAACAATTCATGCGACAACTGTCTATATACTGCAGAAACTAACAATAAGAAGGAGAACTACAACAGCAACACAAAACCAAAAGCATGCTATGGAAACTAAGGGTGCGATACTGGTTAGCACATCACAAACTGAATAGGGTAATGGAAGAACGATCCACAAAGCTCCTCAAAAGGGCAAGTTTCAAATCTAACTCCATCTATTTGAAAGTTTCATGTTCATGAGGAAGCTCTGTGTACCGTGTCCCAATAACTACAGACCGAGTCTGTGTGTTGCAGCAACTGAACAAGTGGGCGATCCATGCAAAATCAGTTGAGTGGAACATTTCGAGTTGACCTCTCCCTGTATGGATACGCGAATTTGCTGCTCTAAAACAACTTCTACATTGAAAGGCTGCTGTATTCTCCGAACATAAAACGACGAACAGCAAACTGTTGATAATGCATGGATTCCCAAGCTTACCCTTTCAGTGGCCAAATCGTGCATAAGCACTTCGAACTGTTACTATACGTTTGATACATGCAAATGTTAGGAATTACTGCCAAATCCAATGAATGCCCTATGCAATGACTTAGAGAATGTCTAAGCGCAATGCTATTTTAACCTGATGATTTACTGAATTATTTATACATCGGAACATTAACTTTGGAAATTCCCAGGCAAAAACAAAGAATAAATAACATTCACTGAACAAAAAAATTCAATTTCTGAGTCGTATAGGCAAACACTATTTGCCCATCACAGCGCATTTAAGAAGTTGACGGTTTCAAAAGAAAGGAAAGAAAAAACACAAAATGAAAACCCACCGGTGCCGGGGTCATTGTGGTGGCAAGATTCCGTGCAATCCCACGCGAACGAGATGATATTGAAGAAGCCGAGCCAGGCGTTGAAAGTGGTTTGATCGGTGTTGTAGGAGAGGAAAAACGAGGCGACACAGACGAAAACCCAGCAACCGCAGATGGCCGTTGAGCCGCAGGGAACGGCGATGGTACAGCCTTCAATGAGATAAAATTATCGAGCAAAAGTGAACGAGTAGAAAAAAAAACAAGAGCGTAAATGAACAACTTTAAAAAATTGAACTACAAAGAGAAGAACTACTAGAGAATTAGTCGAAAATAATTAAAAGCAGCGTACATTGTGCTTGTTACTTCCAGAATGGCGACCGTTCATATAAACTGCTGGACTGTGAAGAATATTGCCATTCGACAGTGTAGGTAAATGGGCGGTGTGTACGGAAGGCGACGAGACATGAGGAGCATGCTGACTACGTGCTTTCATCGCCAATAAACGATCGCCTTGGGAGCGACCCAAAGAGTCAATCGCGGTCTGAAATTTCTCGAGTACAGGAGAGACTCAGGGAAAACAAGTATCACCGGCTTTCTGGCGAAGATACCTTGTTACAGTTGTGGTAAGAAGAAAAAAACAGTAAAACAATGGTAATAAAGATTCAGCATAAGGAGTTTCGACGGAGCAAAGAAACAAAATATTCAAAAAACGAACAGGTAAATAACCAAAAATTGGAAATACCTCTGAATTCGGGTCGTCTGGAGTTGAAGCATTCCCATTTTTGTCAAGCGACTTTTTCGATCTACCGCGAAGTGGCAGAATGTTCGGTCGAGGGCGTGGTACAATGTTTTCTCCAAGGGTCGCTGCTCGCATCGGATGAGAAAGGCAAATCTCGTCCACCTCAAATAGAGAAGCCGTTATTCCGAATCTTCCCATTTGCTCTGGAATTTAGTCCTAGTTATGTTACCTTGGACGTGAGTTTCCCGAGCGACTTTTTCGCCGTCACATCTGGAACGTTGTGCCGTCGCGCTTTCTGCACCACGTTGTTTTGCGACATTGACCAACAGAATTTCTGCATAGCAACCTATAATGAAGGAGAGTAATAAATGGAGAGAACGACTGCGAATCCACGTAAATCGTGAGCATATAGAAAACAATCACAATGAATCTTTACTATGAAAAAACTGACGAGGTAATCCTGCTGAGGCCCGATAACACTTCCTGGCCGACATATCCGAAGCCAAGCCATGCATTCAGCAGCATTCAACCCAAACTCTTTCATCATCCAACATGCAATCAGTGTTCCTGTTCGCCCGAGACCTGCATTAAAAAGTTATCAGTAAAGTCCTAGTCAACAGCGGAAGCCTATCCAGAACCTACCAGCCTTGCAGTGCACAGCGACAGCACCTTTTGCATTATCAACTACCCGTATAAAATTTTCCACAATTTTTTCTGATGGGGTGCTACCATCGATAAAAAATAAATCCACGTGGTCAAATCCGGCATCGGTAAACCTGAGAAAAATCTAATAAGACACTGAAAAGGTGGTAGCAATAACACAGAAAAAGCGCGGTTATGTCTTGAATTCACCTACACATTTGATAAAAAGCAATATCAACAGATTATCGCAGTCTTATGGAAGCACACATCAGCTGTGCAATTTTCCGAAATACACCACAGCTTACCAAGAGAACAAACAAAAATTTCTACCACTACTTCGACCACAACCATTTGAACAGAGTGATGCTGTCAACTCACTTTTTCGCATCATACATTCGCATGTTTAACCGCACAATTGTTGTGACATTAGTTGCATGGAAATATTCAAAATACGTCTCAGGAGAGTGGTACGGGTATCCTTAAGAGAGAAAATATGAAAATACACGGAAGGTAATTCAGATCGGTAACATTGGCACATTCCGGCAAGCAGCGCCACCAGACATGATTTGACATAGTCCAGAAATGAAGCCTACCGTCTTCTACACGAGATTCATTATGAGGGCCACAGAAACTGAGAATTTTCCCAGGAATAATCCAATTCATATCGCCGTTCTCCACGCGTTCATAAAGTTCATATTCCTCTGCATCAAATGACGCAATGTCAAACCATTTCAGATTGATCGCCTGGATAAATAGAAGTGAAACCTAGAGAAACATAAAAAAAAACTTGATAATACAAATTCACACCTTCTCAACAGCTCGCAGAACGTCGTGCAAGTGAAGCAGATAAGTCGGTTCACCGAGTGCTGCATCACGGAAGCCAATAAACTTGGGAGGTTGAGCTGTTTCTAAGCGCAGATAAGCCGCATCCGCGGACACCCCTTGGTATATGATCTGAAATGATAAGCTTTTTCTCCAGAAACTTTTTCTGGATAAGCTCAAACGCAAGATGTTATAATATTGGCTCCCCCACTTCCTTCACGATTTGGAGCGCAGCGGCTCCCCCACTTTCTTCACGATTTGGGGCGCGGCCGCGGCGAGCGCGGCCGAGTCGATAGTGCCCGCGAACTGTGTGGGTAAATTTGAAAACGCATCACCACCACAGTTCGCGGGCACTATCGACTCGTCCGCGCTCGCCGCGGCCGCGCCCCAAATCGTGAAGAAAGTGGGGGAGCCTAAATATTCACTATTTTCGAAGCGAAAAAGTCTAACGGACGTCAAA